CCTTTCCTGTAACTGGTTTCCTCATTCCTCTGTAGATTACAATGCAAAACTCCAGACTGGGAGCTGGAGGTGTTACAGAGTACTGACACTCCAGCTGTAGCCTGGATTACGAGGAGATTTAAGAATAGTAATTGGTTTTCTGAAGAGCTGGATGACTTTTGATGTTCTCTCATCTACCTTCGTTAAACAAGATAATAATTAGAGATAATAGTGTGCTGCAGACTGAGTTGACGTTTGCCTTGCCTAATGAAGGCTGCAGGCAGCACAGGGGAGTCTGAGGCCTGACAAACAGCCAGATGTGGAGTAACCCCTGGAAGTGCCTTGGCCAGTGTTGTGGCTGGGTGTCTGTTTGCTCAGGTTCTCCTCTTGGAGCCCTGCTGGGGCTGCAAGCTGTAAACTGTGATGCTCTTCCCTGCAGAGCAGCCAGCCCAAACTTCCTGCCCCACAATCACCTCTCCTAACGACTCGTGGTGGATGTTTAATTGCAGTCTTGCTAAACTGCAAAAAGCCTGAACAAGTGAAAGTGAGGAGGCTGTGGCCTGAACTCGTGTTCATGAACCTGGGCTCTGCCTCAGACACTGTCCTGCCCATCCGTCTGTGTGTGGGGCATGACCTTTATTCAGCCTCTCCAAGCTGAATGGCTCCATGGCCACAGCCTGTTCTCTTGGAACACAGCTGGGGTAACTTGTTGAAACTGGGAGGTGTGTGACAGCCTGGGAGTGAGGTGGAGCAGTTACCTCTGCAGGCTTTGAAGTGTCAGCCTGCAGCTCTGCACACAGTGCTCCTTCAGCTCTCAGCAGCAGTGGTGGGCTGCTCCTCTTTAGTCCTCCTTAAGGTTACTGAAGAGTTTCTGGTGATGGTAAAACTAAAAGATACATGGAGAAATTTGTCAGTGATACCACAGCTGAGTAATGAGAGGAAAACTTCTCAGTTAGTCAAACACATTTTCTTCAACAGCCCCTGCCCACCTCCCTGCTTAGTGGGACAGAAGATGTGGCTACAAATGGGCCCTTGGTTTTTGGTACTTTTCCCCTGTATACAGCACAAACTGATCTACCTGCCCCTGTGAGGTTTTGTTTTCCTTTGTCATCCTCTAATATAAACCATAAATTAGGATTTAATGAAGTTAACATACAGTATAGCTGCTGGAGTTCAGAAAAATTTGGTTTAGGTATTTCAGCCTGCTTTTAACTCCTGAATGATCCTCAGCATTGCTGTGGGAGTTCCTCAGGGACACTGAACACCCCGTGTGCTGTGCTGCTCTCTAATGCTGCCATTCCAGGCACTGACAGACTGTCCTCAGTAACAAAGAGACAACCAACCACTCAACCATTCAACTCGATTTCCAGTCTGTGGAGTTAAACTGCATCACTAGCTAGGTGCTGTGTTATTTCTGTTTGGTCAGGGTCTAGATGAGGTTATATACTGGATTCAAAACAAAACAGCCTCAAGGGTTTCTTGAAAACAGTTTTTAACTTGGAGAGAGCAAACCTTCAGATGTGAATTTGCTGTTTAATATGGGTGTTCTTGTCAACTCACTGCTCCAGCTCCATGCACACGGGGTGGGATTTTGACTTTTGCATTGCTGAGGCTGCAATCCATTTCTGCAAAAGGTGCTGACTTCACAAATTCCTCAAGTATTTTAGTCAGGCTTCCCTTAATGCTCTGCTGCTTGCTTGGGACACAAAGAACCCAGCTTCTAGCAGTGACTGGTAATCTGCAAGTATAAAGGGTAGATAATGCTGCTTGAAAGGTTTGCTGAGAGGTTTTGGTGAATTAAAAGATAAAAGGTGGCCTTGGTTTTGTCTTGGGTTAAGAGGAACTGGGTGACATGTACTTACTCTTGTCCTCCCTCTCTCCCCACATTTTTAATGTCAGTGATTACTGCCATGCTTGTTGAGGTTAGAGAAACAATTGCTAATAATTCAAAGTAAATACTGGAACATGTTTTCCTTACAAGCAGAGCCTAAAGACAGAGTGCAAGGCCCTAGCTGCCAAACTGAGGTAACCAGTAGCCACTCAGGTGAGCAGCATCCCAGACTGAGGGGAGAGTTCTGCCTTCTTAGTCTAAATGAAGTACAGTATCTCCAGCCTCAGTGGTAATGCTGTAAGGAGATGTGCTCTCACTTGTTAAAAGGAAGGAATAGTTTTAGAAATTAAAATTCTCATCTGAGAAACAATTGCTAATAATTCAAAGTAAATACTGGAACATGTTTTCCTTACAAGCAGAGCCTAAAGACAGAGTGCAAGGCCCTAGCTGCCAAACTGAGGTAACCAGTAGCCACTCAGGTGAGCAGCATCCCAGACTGAGGGGAGAGTTCTGCCTTCTTAGTCTAAATGAAGTACAGTATCTCCAGCCTCAGTGGTAATGTTGTAGGAGATGTGCTCTTCACTTGTTAAAAGGGAAAAGGAATGAATAGTTTTAGAAATTAAAGTTCTCATCTGGAGCAGATGAATTGCTGAAAATAAGGGAAATCATAGAAGCATGGAGTGGCTTGGCTTGGAAGGGACCCTTAAAGGTCACCTAGTCCCTCCCCTCCCCATCAGTCAGCAGGGACAGCCCCAGCTGGAGCAGGGTGCTCAGAGCCCCAGACAACCTGTTCTGGAGCATTTCCAGGGAGGGGGCAGTGACCACCTCTCTGGGCAGCCTGGGCCTGGGGCTCAGCACCCTCAAGAGCTGTGGGGGTTTTGCCACGTGGAGTGTGCCTGCCGAGCTAGCCTGTGCTCCAGTGCCTGGAGCAGTGCCCCTGGGAGCAGTGTTCTCCAGTGGAGCAGCTCCATTTTAAGCCAGTCTGTAGGAATTTGGTTAAAATGACAAGGCAAAGTGAAGCAGTTGCCTCTATTTTGGGCCTAACTCGTTCCAGTTGTACAGTGTGCTGGTGTTGCTCCACGTCCATACTCCTGTGGCTGCTGTTAGAGGCATGTTGATATAAGCCATCGTTCTGCATCTTACACAAGAGTTGGCTTTGGAAGTGCATAACTTCACTTTCTTCCTTTTTGACTCTAAATCAAGATATTACAAAGCCTGGATTAATTTGTATTTGGCGTGGGATTCCCTTATACTTGAAATGCTTTGCTATTAACCTATTGAGGCCCTTGTTGCCTTGAGTTACTTAGTCCCCTTTTGTCTAGCCTGCTCTCAGGTCCTCTTTGGAATGGTGAAGGGTTGATTCACAGTCACTGGGTGACACAGGAGGTTTGGACAGGCAAATGCAGTGGGATGTCATCCAGAGGGACCTGGGCAGGCTGGAGGAGTGGGCCCACATGAACCTCATGAGGTTCAACAAGGCCATGGGCAAGGTCCTGCAACTGTGTAGGGGCAGTCCTTGTTATCAGCACAGTGAAGGGCTGGAGAGCAGCCCTGTGGAGAAGGAGCTGGGGGTGCTGGGGGTGAGGAACTGGCCTGGAGCCAGCCCTGGCTGCTCCCAGCCCAGAAGCCCCCAGCAGCCTGGGCTGCATCAAAAGAAGCATGGCCAGCAGCTGGAGAGAGGTGATCCTGCCCCTCTGCTCTGCTGAGACCTCACCTGGAGTCCTCTGTCCAGCTCTGGGGTGCTCAACACAGGAGGGACATGGGCCCTTGAGCAGGGCCAAAGGAGGCCACTAAAATGCTCCAAGGGCTGGAGCACATCTCCTACAAGCCCAGGCTGAGAGCTGGGTTTGTTCAGCCTGGGGAAGAGAAGACTCCAGAGAGAACTTCTGGTGGCCTTCTAGTACCTGCAGGGCCCTGCAGGAGAGCTGGGGCAGGGCTGGTCACAAGGGTGTGCAGTGACAGGATGAGGGGTGATGGTTTTAAACTCAGCAGGGGAGATTTGTTACAGAGTAGGAGGAAGTTCTTCACTCTGAGGATGGTGAAACACTGTCCCAGGCTGCCCAGAGAGCTGGTGGAGGCTCCATCCCTAGAGACATTCAGGGTCAGGCTGGATGGTGCTCTGAGCAGCCTGATCTAGTTGGGAATGTCCCTGCTCCCTGCAGGGGGTTGGACCAGATGAGGTCCCTTCCCACCCAAAGCACTCTGTGATTGTCTGTTTAAAAGCTCTGAGTTGCTGCTTCGCTTCTCCTTGTGCTGAAGGTAATGCCCAAGGAGATGTTAGTTGGCTGTTTTACCCTACTGTGCTCACTCCTGGAGGAGAGAACAGACCCAGATCTCTCTGGAATCTCAGCCACCAAAACCAAAGTGGTACAAAGCAGTGAGCTGCTTGGGTGGACAGTGCACGTGTGTCTCCAGAACTTAACCTGGAGCTTATTCCTCTGAATATCTAACTAGAATGGGCATGAGAAATCCTGATACGTATTCTTGGAGTCAAAAATTGGTGTGAAATACAGACTGTGCAGAGAAGCTTAAGGTGGTAAAGTCACCTAATAAAATGTGGATTTTGAATATTTCTGTTTTTTCAAGTAACTTCCATGGGGCATATTTGAAGCCTGAACTTAAGCACGCATCCTGGATGTATGAGGTCTGAGTTTTTGGGCTACTGGAAGCCTTTTGCTGGTTTTCCTCTTTGTCTGTTAAGAATGTTTTAAAGCTGTAGAACTGAATCATCAGTCACTAGGGAAACAGTAAATTGGCTTGTCCTTGAGGTGAGGAATAACACCAGCTGCTTGTTGGTGTGTTGTGCTTAGGAGACTTTCCTTCAGAGCCCTGTCAGCACAGTCATCACCCTGGACGTGAAATTCACTTTTCTCTTGCCAGTTTAAGGAGCAGAGAACCTGAAGTGTTTGTGAAAGTCACTAATAAAGGCACCTCAGATTCATGGCATGTGATGTGTTGTCTGCAGTCTTCAAAGCTTCTTGAAACGGGGCTGTTCACCCTCTCATCACCCCTGGGAAGTGATGCTGAAGTTCCCTCTGTGGAGTTTGCCTTCATCCAGTTCTGATACTGGAAAGGGAGAGGAGTAATTCCTCCTGCTGTTTGTGTGGGGCATGGGTGGGTGGAGAGCAGCTCGGGGTGGCACAGGACCATCCAAAGCACCGTGTCCTGATGTGTGTCCTTTTGATTTCAGGCAAAAGTAAAGAAGCAGAGATAAAGAGGATAAATAAAGAACTAGCAAACATTCGCTCCAAATTTAAAGGTAAGTGACTGGATCTGTTAAACTAGACATATTTCCTCATTGCATTCTTCTCTGGGGTTTTGTTTTGGTTTTAAATGTTTAGGCTTTTTTGTCAGCTGCTGACACAAGCAAACTGCTAGAGCAGGCTCTTAGAATAACTATTGAAAATGTTCTTTTAACTACAGAGCTTCCTGACAGGCCTGTGATTCTTGGCCATAACAGAAGAAAACTCCCTCTCATATCAAAGAATTGAGCTACTGTTCACAACCTTTTTCTAATACTTTGCCTCCTAACCATGTGACTGCTCAGCCTGTTCTCTTCCAGAAGGCCATGAACTAGTTTGAAGCAACATGGGTGGATGTAATTATTTCCAGTAAAACAAAATCTGTTTAAACTTCTCCCTTCCCCCTCTCCCCAAGCCCTTAAGGAAGTGTGGGTTAGGCTGTCTGCTAGCAGAATGAAGATAAAACTGGGTAGTTGATGAAGCCATACATCTTGACCACTCCCATAAGTGACAGCAGTACAAATTACTCTCACAAACCAGAGGCTGTGCAGTGACTAATTCCATCCTCCTGCATTCCAAGAGGCAGCAATTCACTTTTAAACACCACAGGGTAAAACTAGGGCTGTAACTGTGCTCAGCTTGTGTGTGTGGCTTCAAGTTTTAAAGGTTCTGAGAGGTAGCTGAGATGCTTTTGAATGGAGTTCTACTGGTGGTGGCTGTGACAGACATTCTGTTTAAGTAGATATGGGGCTGTGTGTGCAGCTAGATAAAGCCCTGCAGTGTGGAGGTCCTTTATGTGCCTTCAGAGTTTGCTGTATTCAGACTAAACCTGTTTACCTTCATTATTTCTCCTGCCTTAGACTAGTGTATCTATTTGGAATACTGAATGCATTAAGAAAGCCTGAAATAGCTTTCCTGAACTTCACAGGTCTCTGGTGCTAATTTTGAAGTGATGTGTCTCTTAAAGGTGTTTGAAGACCTGCAAAAACTTGAGTGTCAACAACAGCTTAGAAGGGAACAGTTGACCACAGTGCAAGACACATGAGAAAAGTGAAGAAGTTGTTCTAAATCAGAAGCCATCACATGCCTCTGTGCTAACGTTTTTCTCTTAGAAATTTCAGCACTCTTCATCCAGATGGGTAGCTTTAGTCACAGAGTAACTGAGGAAATTTTAATGGCTCTTTTTCTAGGGTAAATAGTAAAAGGAACTTTCATTTAATCACCTTCCTGTGCTATCACATTGTTTTATCATTTCATTTTCATTGCAAAGCTTCCATTGAACACTGATATTGGTCAAAACACTGATTTTGCCAAAGTAGCAGGTTTTGCACAGCCTGTTCTACAGACTGTTCTCCATCACCCAATTCAAATCCAAAACTCATGTCCATTTTCCAGACAGTGCCCAGCAGATATTGTGTTCCTGGGCTAAGGGCACGTGCACCCTGGGCTACCAGCACAAGTTCAAGGGTCCATCAGAAACCTGCAAACGAGTAACAGCCATTTCTCTTGGTTCCTGCTCTGTGGTCAAACTGGATCATCCTACTGCCTAGTAAATTTAAGCATAAAACTGTAACTTTGTAAAGCAGCTTAACCTCCAGGAAAGATATACTCTAGCCAAATTAAATACCTCTTTCAGACAAAGAGACTGAGTTTAATTAAAAACTGTTTAAGAAGTTTTTGTATACATAAGAAGCTGAAGTTTCATGTTACTTGTTCTTTTGACTGAAATCATGAGGCTGGTTAATCTGGTGTTTGCAGCCACAAAGACTGCTTGTGTTCCCTTGCCTGTTTGTGGAACTACCTGCTGTCCCATAGCAGCATCACAGGTGATCAGCTGTTGCTGAAGTTCATTTCAGCACCCAAATTCTATACTTAATTGTTTAGCCAGGACAGGTTTTTCTAGAAAGCAGCATGTCTCTTTCCTTGTAGATGTATTAACAGTTACTCCACCTATGCCCTTCTGTCATCAACAACATCTAGAGGTTAATGCCTGGCTGGAAACCTTGCTGCAGTCACACTGACACAGAAATCTAGTTCTGTCAGCAACTTGACTTCAGGCTACCCCACCTTTTATTTTACCTTGATTTGGCTGATGGGCAAGCTTTAGGTTGTTTGCAAAACCTAATCAGTTTTTCACTAAGGGAACTGGAAGCTTTCATCAGACCAAATCTTCAGTGAAGGTCTGAAAACTCCAAAAGGCATAACAAAATGAAATGTTTTGAGTAACAGAAACTAAATTCCATTTGGGTCCATCTGCACCCACTAACCTGCACACTTCTGTGACCATAGGTAGTTGGGTGGCTGGGTTGTATCCCTGAGTAGCTGCAGGCTGAAGAGCTGCTGATGGCACAGTTCATAGAACCCATTTGTGCTCCTCAGTTCTGCAAGGTATCTCCTGGCTTAAGTGCAAAAATAGTTAAAGGTACATGCACAGTAAATTCTTCACTGGTTAATGATGATGTGGGGGAGAAATGTGGATGTGGTACTGAAGGGCAGTGTCGTGCTCATGGGTTGGGTTGATGGTTGGCCTTGATGGTCCTGGAGATCTTTTCCAACCTTAATGATTCTGTGATCCTGTACATGATGCCTGATGGATGGCTCTGCAAAGCCAATGATCAGGGGACAGAAGTGCTTCCAGCAAAGCAGTGAGATAACTTCAGCCTGTGCATGTTGTGTAGCATCCCTTAAGCACAGATTAAATAGTTTTGAATGAGTGTTCATGCTCATGCAGCAGCTTGAGTGAAAGACGACTAAACCTTCTCAGTAGCTAATCTTCATTATGGCTAATTTATTACTGAATTTGTAAGGATTTTAGGTGAAAATCTGACTTAACTGAAAACAATAGCTTGATGTAGCCTGAATGAAAACTAGATGTAAATGTCACAGTTTGGAAGACACTGAGTTTGGGCATCTTGTTGTGGAAGTGCTTGAGGAGACAGCTGCCTATCTTTGTGCCACACACGTGCTGCCTGGGCTCTGCTGCAGGGTTCCTCCTGCCAGGAGGGCTGCTTGGAAATAAACAGGCCTCCATAATATATTTTATTCTTGGTTTAAGTTTAACTCATTCAGTTTAACTCAGTTTCTTCTTATGTAGCTCAGAGTGTTAAAAAATGTGTTTAAACAGTTTGGATTAAGGTGTGTGTGACTGTGAACTTAAGCTGGAATCCCTTGCTCCAAAATGTGTTTAAACAGTTTGGATTAAGATGTGACTATGAACTTAAGCTGGAGTCCCTTGCTCAGTAGCTATGGGGACTGCTGATGCCCTGGGCTGGTCAGCTGGCTGGAGGAGCTGCTGCTGGACTGACTGGTTTGCTGTGAGCAGGAAAGGTCTCACAGCAAGAAGCAGGGCTGGCAGCAGTGCCTCCTGGCACAGATGTGTTCTGACTTGAGACCAGAATAAGAGACAGGTCTGCCACGAGTATCCTACCCTCTTCAGCATACTCTGTGGCATTATCTAGACCCCCACACCAAGTAACTTGCATGATAGTCTTACACTGTTGCAGACAGAGATATTTCTACTTTTGTTCTAGCATGCAAGTAGCTGGCAAGGCTGTTACCTGCCTCATGTTGGGGTAACCTGCTGTTTAAAATACTCTGTACTTAGCAGACCAGGATGAGGCTGCACGTCCCTGGAAAATAACATTTTTATTGCACTGATGCCATGGCTCTGGGTGCTCATCTGGCTTCTGTGACTTCTGTGCTACAAGCCCAGAAGGAATGTAGGATCTCTGTACTTAAGGTGACTTTGCCTCTTGTTTCAGCATGAGGAATCCCTCTTGCTGAGGTCACTGTGTCCTTGACAGTTGCTTTAAATGCTTCTGCATTAACTGAGATAAGATGCATGTAGTAGAGAGAAACTACAGAAGGTGTAATAAAGCAGAAGTTGCAAGAGCTGTGTGAAGTGGAGAAATACTATTCCTTCTGTTTGTGTTCAGACTGTAACCTGATTTTGCTCCCGTGCTTGAGCCAAACTGGAAGTCTGGCTGTCAGAGCAGTAATTGCTTTTAAATGAGTGGAAAAAAATGTCTGGTTTATTAATTTGTTGCATCGTTTTGATCATTTGCGTGCTAATGAAACTCCCCACAATCTATAACTGTTTCTGCAGGCAAAGGGACTTTGTCCTCTGTTGATTCAGGCTTGTTCTTTTTTCCTGGTCTGGCACTGGATTGAGTTTTGTTGTGGTTACTTAACAGGGTTTGTGTTACAAGAGTGGCTGCTGGATCCCAGACATGCTGGTGGATCTTAGTTTGGGCTTGTGCAGAAGTGCCCCAATGTCAGTTGATAACCCCTGGGTTTTGGTGGGGTTTGTTTGTTCTTTTATTTAACTCGGCTCACTTGTTTTCCCAAATCCAAGCAAGTCTTCTCTGTTGTCCCAGAGTACACAGTACTCTTCATATTTAAGAAGGGTCTGGTTAGCCACAGTGCCTTCTGATCCTCTAGGAGATGCACGAAGGCAGTCCTTGGGTAAAACAACCCAGTGCTGTCAGGCTTCCCTACCCTCCACCCCCAGCTAACATCCCACCAGCCTAAACTGTCACCTTGTCCCCTCTGGCTGGTGGCAGGCTCTAACTGCAGCAGCCTGGGGTGTGGGTATGCTGAGCTAAAAACCAGCACCTGCTTTGGACCAACTCCTGGTCTGGCTGGTGGCAGGCTCTAACTGCAGCAGCCTGGGGGGTCGGTATGCTGAGCTAAAAACCAGCACCTGCTTTTGAGTCTAACTCCTGGTCCAAATGAGAGACAGAAGGTGCTGCCTAGGAACCAGCAGGTCTCCTAATGCTTCTGTGCCTTATTTCTTACTTTTGGAAAGCTGTATGGGAGAGATCTGTGAGCAATGGAACCCAAAACTTCTCTCTTGAAATGGCAGAGAGGCAGTGTACAGAGCTGTGTGCCTTATTTCTTACTTTTGGAAAGCTGTATGGGAGAGATCTGTGAGCAATGGAACCCAAAACTCTTGAAATGGTAGAGAGGCAGTGCACAGAGCTGTGAAAGTAGTAATTCTTTCCTAATACTAGTACTATTTGCTGATCAGCTGTTAATAATTTCTTTCACAGAAAAATGACTAAAAGTCTTTCCAGGGAAAGCAAGTAGCCTTTGAAATGCCCACTGTGCTCAAAACCTGCTGACGTGTGTTCTGAATCCTTCCTGTTTCTGCTGACTTGAATTGCAGTACTAGCAAATGTTCCCAAAAGCATTTAAAAATGAGCTGAGTTAAAGAAATGATTGTGTATTGCAACGAAGATAACCCCACATGTGAAACTTCCCCCTGCTCTGGCTCGGATGTTTGCCTGAGCCTGGGGGAAGCTGGACTATTTTAGCACATACTTAGGCAATGAGCCTTGTTAGTAATGTTTAAAATAGCACCTTTATTACTCTTCCTGGATGCTGCAGGGGAAGGAGAGGAATGGAATGGTTAAAGTTGGAATTTCAGTAAGAATATGAATCAAAGACTTCTTCAAGACACAGCTGGCCTTAGACAACTGCAGTGACACCTTTGACTGCAATGTTTCTTTTTATTCAAATTGCTAAATCATTTTTTTTAAAAAGACAATGATGTTCTATTATTGCTGGGGCTAATAAGGCTTTAAAGATTTCTAGTAACTCTTCCTTGGCTTAGTTTATAAGCTTGCTTGTTATTGAGAACTTTCACATTGCCTTCAGTTCTGCCCACAAGGGACAGAAGCTTTTGCAAGCAGTCAGTTTAGTTTTCCTGTCTTAAGAAAAAGTTCCAGGTACTGATTTTACAATATTTACAATATTTATCATACAGTGTTTGATATTTACAATAATCAAATACCTAAGCACTTGGAGAAACTTTTTTTTAAGCAGTTGAAAAATGTTTAAAAACTAAAGCCATCCCTCTGACTTCTGTAGGTTTTTTTGCCTTGCCTCTCTCTCCTAAGGAAGGAGGGTACCTTTGATCCTCATCTCCTTACCTCGATGGGATGGGAGGAAGCTTTGGGTCTTGAGTACCATTTTCCTGGGAAAACAGTATAACAGGAGGCTTTTATTTCCTCTGTTCATAAATATAGAAGACTTTATTCCTTTGCTGTTCAAGCCATAGTTTGAAGGCCACAGCAGATAGACATGACTGAAAGTCAGCTTTTCCCCTTGGCCTTATTCCTCCCAAAGAAGGGGAGAAAAAACCCAAGAACTTTCTCTCTTCAATTCCAGTCTGAAAGTTTTCTGGTTCTTCTAATGTGAATTCAGATGTCTAGTAAAGCAAACTGGGCTGGATATTTTGCTGACTCAGCAGGGAAATAGCCTTATGGCAGCAAACTGTAAATGTGACTTGAAGAAAACATGGTTTGGGGCAGCTTTCTGCAGAGCTGGCTGTTGACAGGATAGTGGAGTGTCACTGTTGTGAGTGTCTTCAGGCACACTGCTTCATGTCCCAGAGTAAAAGGTGAGGTACCTGCCAGCAACTTTTTACTTGTGCAGCAGAAAATTAGCTTTGAGGTGAAGCTTCTTTTTGTTGGCAACTGATGTGCTGTCAGTGCCAGTTAAAAATTAAAGTCAATGGGTGTCTAAAGACTCAGGTTTGAACCCCCCAAAATGCACAGTTGCAGCCCACAGACAGAACCCTGCAGCACTGTCTCCTTGGGGTGCCCCTGAACGTTCTCTGGGGTCACCAGCACTCCACAGCTCCACACAGCAGCCCCCAGTGCACGAGAAGGAAGAAGGAGGAACTTCTACACTATTAAGATTCTTTATTATATGTTTAGCTGCCTATTGCATAAACCTGAAAGGTAGGTTTGGTTTTATTAAAAAAAAAGTGCAGCTTGAAGCCTTCTTGGCCAGGGCAGTGAGTTAGGGGTGGGTTATTTAGGGCTTCCTTCATGCAGGGCTACTCTGGCTGAACACAGGAATACACACTGTTGTTGTTCTGACTGAACTCTCCAGCATTCAGGGTGCCCTGATTTAATGGCTACTCTTTTAGTTGTTGATTTGGTATAGAAGGGGAGTGTTCTGGAAAAAATATAGGTGTATCTGTAGCCCTTTTCTTTGGGAAAAGAAGCTGTCTGCCTGGTGAGCTGTAAGCTGCTGTCCTCTTCCCTGTAGCTTTTAAGACCTTCTAAAATGCAGCAATACTGCAACATAAGGCCAAACCTTTTAGGGTCCCATTTTAATTCTAAAACTGAAGCACTTGTGAATGATTTCATTTTACACACACTTTAAAGCTCTCATGGTAATCTCCTTTCACATGTTTTTTCAAGGCTTTGGAATACACTTCTATGTTTCTGTCTAGCTGAAAAGACTTGCTGATTTTATTTTGTTACTACCAAGCTCTTTCCTGTGGTGCTCTTTGGGAAGCATGTGAAGCAGTTATTTTACTGTGGTAAAGGTCTGATGATTGGTTTAACATGAGAGGACATATAGCTGCTCTCAAGAGAAACAGGAAGATCAAAAGTATGGACATGCTGCCTCTTAGCAAGAAAATACTTAGAGGTATTAGCAGGATTTTTTATTAAGTTATCAGGATAATTCAGGGACAAGTTGATGGCATTATTTCATGAGTGTCCTTTAGGATATGGATAATGGTACATGGGGTTAACAACAAAATCTTCAGGGTTTGGGGGTTATTTTTACCTATAAATTTCAGTTTCAGGTAAGTATTTAAAAGTAGTGCCATGTGCATGTCTTGTTGATTCAGTGAGAGCTCAGTGTTTTCAGAGGGATGCAGATGATGAGAGAGGTTCTGTCTTGAACCATTAGAAAGAACTACAAGCTACCTGTGTTCTGGACTGGGAATAACTCTAAAATCCCAAAAGCTGTGTGTTTGACTTGTGTTTGATGATGACTTGTGATAACTTCTGTATGTTTAGCACAAAATAATGTAAATACTTATCCATTTATCTCTGACTTTTTGCTCATTATACAGTGAATAAAACAAAACATTTCAGATCTGTGAAGTTCAGGTACTGCAGTAGCTGAACCCTCAGTTTGTCCCTCTTCTGTAGGGTGATATATAGTGAACCAACTGTCAGTCTTTGGTGGTAGGTACAGCTGCAAGTCTTGTTACTGATATGAGGTACCTCAGTGGGGCTGGGCAGGGGCACACAGATAAAGGAACAGTGTGGGCTTAACTGTTCTTTGTTTCCTTGCTTTCCAGGTGATAAGGCTCTGGATGGTTACAGTAAGAAAAAGTATGTCTGCAAACTGCTTTTCATCTTTCTCCTGGGGCATGACATTGACTTTGGTCACATGGAGGCTGTAAACCTGCTCAGTTCCAATAGATACACAGAGAAACAAATTGTGAGTAACTCTGTCTCTGTAGAAGATAAGCTGTTCTGTCTGATGTCCTGCCTCAGCTGTGTGGTCAGTAAAGGACTTGGCTTCATTTCCTCTTCCATGTCTTAAAACTATTTTGGATCTAGTAGCGATTCTGAACTGTAAACACCTTTGTGCACAGAGCATCTTGTACTGAGTGTGAGCCCTAAAATGTGCACTCTGCATCACTTTATTCCTTGAGTTAAGAAACTGCCTCGAGTTTTGCATTAAAAGGCTAATAACCTTTTAATTTTCAGAATATCTCTTTAAATCTTCTTAGTTATGGGTGCATTTACCAGGTGCATGTGACTTACCAGTGTCTGGATAATAAGCCAAACTCCTTGCTTCCATCCATACATGCTGAAGTAGATTGACAAAATACTTAAAAAGTAATAAATTGGGGTAACACTAAACTTACTCCAATTTACTTCACTTAATCTTTCTAGCCTTCACTCTGCTCTCTAAATATTTGTTTCTGCCCATGTTTGGCATTGGAGGAGAACTGCCTGTCCCAAAGACCCCCTTGTGCCATCAACAGCAGAGAGAACCGGAGTGAGCTGAACTAAATTCTCCCTCTCCTTTGGGCCCCAGGGCTATCTCTTCATCTCCGTGCTGGTGAACTCCAACAGCGAGCTGATCCGCCTCATCAACAACGCCATCAAGAACGACCTGGCCAGCAGGAACCCCACCTTCATGGGGCTGGCCCTGCACTGCATCGCCAACGTGGGCAGCCGGGAGATGGCCGAGGCCTTCGCGGGGGAGATCCCCAAAATCCTCGTGGCTGGGTAGGTAGGGCAGCCCCCCTGCACACACAGCCCCCCTGCACACACAGCCCCAGGCTGGCAGTGTGAGTGGTGTCAGTTCCCAGGAGCTGTGGGTGCTCTGATACACCCCAGTGTGGAGTTGTTGAAGTGTGCAAGTACAGCGTGGGAATTAGGACTGTGTCAGTGCCCTGAGTGGGCTCTCACAGCTCTGCTCTGGTCCAGTTTTGGTTCTGTATAAATGTGTGGCAGTGAACGCCCCTAAAGGGTCTATTTTCTCCTGTTAAAAACAAGGAAAAAATGAACCTGGATAGATATTTCCACTACAAATTCTGTTAGGAAATAAAGGTTTGATTTAAGTGGTCCTGACTTCCTAAGGAATATGACAAGCTTCTGTTGTGTGAGCTTTCTTGCTTCCTTTACTAGCCACGTAAACAGCAGTTCCTCTAAGTGGCAAATAGTCACCACCAGCTTTCTGACTTTCCCTTTGGATATCTGGAAGTCTCTAAACAGCTGGCAAATATTTGAAACTGTACTTGAGTAAATTTATAATGAAACTTGTGATTGCAGGGCTAATTTATTTTGAAATGTGCAAGTGCAAACAGTTCTTTTAAACTCTCTTATGGATACAAAATGCTTTGGAATATGCATGGATCTTGGTTTATAAGAGACTGATGTCTTTCATTAATATAAGAAGGTACCATGTTGCACAAGAACTGTATTAACACTCTAAATGTCAGATGCCAGCACTTGCAAATGTTGCTTATGCAACACTAATTCTGACTGTCTATTATGTGCCCTGAGTTGGCAGCAAGAGGAAGGATATAACATGTGATATGTAGTTGTGGCAAAAGTCTTAGGAAATCCTCCTGAGCTCCTGAAGTGATGTCTCTATCCTGCCACACTTGAACACTGTTACTGTCCTGTGGAGCCAAAATATCCCCTTGGGTCATCGATTGCAGAGGGGGATGCAGATGGTTGCACCTTCAGTTCAGGCTTGTTTGGACCTTGAGCTGTGTGTATGTTCTGAGATCAGTCTTCAGGGCCTCGTTCCTTCTAAGAGAACACAAATAAAATGTGTCTGTGCACATATTCTGTCTGCATGACTGCTGCAGAGGAGAACATTCCAACTTCAGTGTAGCTCCCTTGGCTTGAATATAAATTGGAGGAAGGGAGTGGTCAGGGAGGGGACAAATAGGCTTGGTGATTTTTTTTTTTATTTATTTTTTAAACCAAGGTACAATTTGATCTCATGGAAAATAAATAAATTCATACAGAATAGGTGGACTGAACTTCTACAGGGGATATGGAGGTTTCTGAACATTTAACCAAGATGGCATGGTATAAACTGCCTCTTAGCACTCTGTGCAATTTTTAGCTGCTTTGTGCAACACACAAAATGCTTAATTGCCTCCTTTGGGAATGGGAGTTCACTGAACTAGAATAGGAGCATGCTGCTCTTAATAGAGCCTGTTTCTGTGCCAGCAGCAGGGGTGGCAAGGGGAATGGGTTTGTGGGTTGCATGCTTGGTGATAAGCAGCCAAGCTGTGTGCTCCCTGTGGGTCCTGAAGCTGTTGAGTAGTTAATGAGTTGTCTGTCTCATGATGAGCTTTCAGTTCTGGTAAAAAGAATGGTCTGTATCAAAACCAGTGTGGCCAGCAGGAGCAGGGAAGGGATCCTGCCCCTGGACTGGGCACTGGGGAGGCCACAGCTTGAGCACTGGGGTCAGTTTTGGGCACCACAGGGTAAGAAAGACCTTGAGGGGCTGGAGAGGGTCCAGAGAAGGGCAACGAAGCTGGGGAGGGCTCTGGGGAACATGGCTTGTGAGGAGCAGCTGAGGGACCTGGGGGGGTTCAGTCTGGAGAAGAGGAGGCTGAGGGGAGAACTTCTGGCTCTCTACAGCTCCCTGAAAAGAGGTTGGAGTGAGGTGGGGGTTGGTCTCTTCTCTAAGGGAACTAGCAATAGATAGGAAATGGGCTGAAGTTGCCTCAGGGGAAGTTTGGATTGGATATGAGGAAGAATTTATTTTCTGCAAGAGTGGTGAGACTGGAGGGGCCATCCCTGAGGGGGGCTCAAAAAATGTTTAGATGTGGTACTGCAGGATATGTTTTAGTGGTCATGGTAGTGTTGGGTTGACAGTTGGACTTGATGATCTTAGAGGTCTTTTCCAACTGTAATGGTTCTATGAAATGTCACTTCAATTTGCAAAGAATCATTACAGAGGCTACTAGACCTAAGCAGCAGCTGACAACTTGACTAGTGAAATTTGCTGGACAAAAGCAAGAAGAACAAATATGGTGGAATTTAGTGAAGGAACACAGGAAGAATTCAGTGAGCTTGTGTTTCAGCTTCTTTAGAGAAGCTGCTGCCTGGCTGGGGTGGTGCAAGGGCTGGCATCATGCTGGCCTGCCCATGTGGCTGTGACCTACCCCTGTTCTGTGCCTGGCAGGGATACCATGGACAGTGTGAAGCAGAGTGCTGCCCTGTGCCTGCTGCGTTTGTACCGGACCTCTCCGGACCTGGTCCCCATGGGAGACTGGACATCCAGGGTGGTGCATCTCCTCAACGACCAGCACTTGGTAAATCAGCCTCATTTTGCTTCTTGGGTCTGTTCTGTGTGGAGAATGATGTCACTTCTGCTGTTAAATACACTCCTAATTTATTTGTTTTAGGTTCTTTCAAGAAATTGGGTTGCTGTTTTGATCAGGCTTGGGGAAGAAATGGGAGGAGTTGTTGTCCTTTTTTTAGTTGCTGTGTATATTAATATTCCATAAAGTTTTGTCTCCTTTTTTTTTTTCTGAGTTATAAGAATGACAAGCACAAGTTCTATTTGTTTTAGGTTCTTTCAAGAAATTGGGTTGCTGTTTTGATCAGGCTTGGGGAAGAAATGGGAGGAGTTGTTGTCCTTTTTTTAGTTGCTGTGTATATTAATATTGCATAAAGTTTTGTCTCCTTTTTTTTCTGAGTTATAAGAATGATAAACACAAGTTCCTCTTTTGCTCTGGCTGTAAATAAATTTATCTTGTGCCTTGTGACCCTAAGCCATGTTGCATGTGTGTAATGCTAATTTTCCTAGACCCTTTAAGATTAAACCTGCACTAAAAATGCAAGGCATGAGTTGTCAGTGCTTGAACTTCCTTGTCCTGTCGTGTCTGTGTTGTCATTCTTCCCTTGCTGGTTCAAAAAAAAAAGGAATTTTCTAGATGGAAGACTGGTTTTTCTTTTCCTCCTCCCTGTCTAGTCACTTTATGAGAGTAGTGCTGCTGAGACCTGTACTGCAGCAGTAACAGGAGTGCTTTAGTCTGCAGTAATAGGAGGTGCTTGTGGTACACAGAGCCCTCTCTTCACACTGGCTTGTCAGAATTCTTTCCTGGATCATCTGCTGCATCCTGTTTCTGTGACTCGTGTTCCTCCTGTGCAAGAAGACTTTGCATCCCAGCTTTATTTTGATGTAATTTATTTCAGATGTAGTCTCCAATCGTGAGACAAGGCTAACACAAAAATAGCACAAAATGCTCTGCAAGCATGACAGTGACATGTTGTTGAAAGTCCTGTTGGGTTTTGAAGACATGTAATCAATCAGCTGCCAGCCAAGTGAAGGTCTTTCTAATGTGGTTTTTTTTTTCATGCTGCTAAACTTAGTTTTGTTGTATGTTAAAAAATACTTGAAGTAAAAGTCATTAATGAGCAGCACCTTAAACTGTTACAGAACTGAATGTATTGCTGTTGTGTTTGTTTTTCCTAGGGTGTGGTTACTGCAGCTACAAGTCTGATTACCACTTTGGCACAGAAGAACCCAGAAGAGTTTAAAACTTCAGTCTCCTTGGCAGTGTCTAGATTAAGCAGAGTGAGTCCAATGTTGACCCTGATAATACTTCACTGTAGCTCAATTTACTCAGCTTTCTAGGTCAAGTTAGCTTACTGTTGCATATTTATTCAGCTTTCCAGGTCAGATTAGTTTGGTGTACCATGAAAAGTGAAGATGATTCAGTTTCACTTTACAGAGCTGGTTGGACTTCTAACACTTGTTGCTTACCAGGGCAGAAAACTTATTAGCTTGCCCCAGCTCTCTTGGTGTAATCCTTGCTATGCTCCAAGTCTGTGTAGCAAAAAGGTCTTTCAGCTGCTTGTGTGTGAAAGGATCCTCATGGTGCAGTTGAGTTTTTAATCTTCATTTCATGTTCCTGTAATACTAAAGAGTAGTTGGATCAAAGAGTGATTCTACAGACTGCTGCACAGAACCCTCAAAACCACCACCTGTACCTTCAGCTTTGCCTAAGCTTCTTACAAGATGAGTCTCCTTCCTGTTCCCTCTTTTGAGCTGCTGCTAGGTTAATAATCACCAGTATTTGCTATTCTATGACAGGGGTAAGGGGTTAAGCTGGGGCAGGGTGTGCAGGGAGGCCTGGAGAGATGTTTCTGTAAGGTAACATCTTCATGCTGGAAAACTTACTGTTTCATTTGAGGTGGTTTTTTTCCCTTTTGGAAGGTGTGGAAGACATGGGAGAATGCTACTCCACAGATATATTTTACACCCAGATTTACGTGGTGTTATATCTAAAATTGCTTCTACTTCTGAGAAATTTAATTTCTTCTCAGATGTAAAGATTTATCTAATACTTGGAAGCAAGGGAGCTCTGAGGGAAGCACATAGCTGTTCTGTAATGGAGCAGCAAGAGTGAGATCAGAATTTCTTGGAGCAAAGCTAGTACCAAACTCATGCTAACACTAGAATCAAAGGGTGAAAAGAAGTCCATGAAAAGAAGTCCATGAAGAGGGTTACTCTCATGCTAACACTAGAATCAAAGGGTGAACAGAAGTCCATGAAGAGGGTTACTCCCTCTGAAACCTCATCTAATCCTTATCACATTTCATTGTGTGTATAAACCTGTCCTGGGAGAGCTCTCTGTTCTTCACTCTGGAGCATGGATGTTACTGAAGGTGTTAGTTGGTCCTCCTGCTTTTTCCAACCTCACCCATCAGCAGTCAATTGTAACACTAAATATAGGTTTCTGTTGGCTGGATCTAGGAATTGCTGAACCAAAGTCAGTCAAGCTTCTAGTCAAATGTTTTGGTGTCACAAGATGGTCATGTTCATTCTTAAGGAAAGCAATACTTTCAGGAGGAGCCTTCCTGTTGGCTGGATCTATGAATTGCTGAATCAAAGTCAGTCAAGCTTCTAGTCAAATGTTTTGGTGTTACAAGATGCTTTCCTTAAGAATGAACATGACCAAGTATGCTTTCAGGGGGAGCCTTCCTAGACTGTAAAACTGCATTCCTGTTGCTTGGGGACCTGCTGGTGCGCTCATAGTATGACAGCTCACACCTAATTAATCTACTGAATTAAGCATTGCTAGTGACATAGTTTTGCAAGTCTCTGTCAGAGGTGCCCTGCAGTGTTCTTTGGGTCCTTCTCATGGTTGCACATCACTTAGCTTCAGGAGCTGATGTGCTGTCTGCTTCTTTTACAGATTGTCACTTCTGCGTCGACAGACCTTCAGGACTATACGTACTACTTTGTTCCTGCTCCTTGGCTATCTGTGAAACTTCTGAGGCTGTTACAGTGCTATCCCCCTCCAGGTAATGCACAAATCACTACAGCAGGCTTCTCTTTTGATGCAGTACCTTCCAGCTCTTTGGGGGTAGTGTTACCCTAACTGGAAGCGCAAGCACCTTGTCTTGAGACCAGGTTAGTGAATTCTGTCCTCCTGAGTGTTTCAGATTGAATTGTTTTGTGTTTAATTTTAACAAAAGGACAAGTAGCTTAGAACAAAGTGTCACACCAGCATGCATCTCACAGACCAGTTTCAACTGCCATTTTCAACATTCTTGAATGTTATCTGCTATATGAAAGCCTTGAAATAGATGACAGTGAAGATCCTGTTTGGTTTTGTTCACACCCAGATAGAACCGCAGCTTAGAATTCTTTTGTCAGCTGTGTATTTAGGGAGGGTGAAGTGGTTTTAGTGTCTAGGAATACTACTGTTTATTCAGATGGAGCAAGCTGGAAGGCCCAAGGGTAGGGGTTAGGGTGTTGAGCAAAGTGAAGTTGTCCAACGGCTTGTTCTTCTCCAGAAGACCCTGCGGTACGTGGGCGCCTGACAGAATGCCTGGAAACCATTCTCAACAAGGCTCAGGAGCCACCAAAGTCAAAAAAAGTCCAGCACTCCAATGCAAAGAACGCTGTGCTCTTTGAGGCAATCAGCTTAATTATACACCACGACAGGTGAGCTGGGACAACACTTCTGCTATGAGGGGGATTTTTGAGTGAGAAGCCCTGGCTTTGTGTTGGACACTGGATGGAATTTACTCGGGTGGGTCTGGGGAGGAGAATAGTCTGGAGTTGCTTGCTAGATTGGAGCACAAGCACAGCAGTGGAACTGAACAGTATTAATGGCCTATGTTGCTGTCAGCATATTTTTTATTGCTTTGTTACTTGCTGCCTTTTGGTTTTTTTAATGTTTTGTATTGACCTCACCACTCTAATCCAACAGAGATTATTTGCTGAATTTTCATTTCACCAGCAGGGCATTCTAGCAGACACTTGGAAGCATTTTAAGAAATTTCCACTGCAGAAATAATATCCTGTACTGGGTGTTCTCAAACCTGTTGCTTTTAACCCTTTCACTTTCTCTCCTGTTCTGTGCAGTGAGCCCAATCTCCTAGTCCGTGCCTGTAACCAGCTAGGTCAGTTCTTGCAGCACCGGGAGACTAATTTGCGTTACCTAGCGCTGGAAAGCATGTGCACGCTTGCCAGCTCTGAATTCTCACACGAGGCTGTGAAAACACACATAGAAACAGTTATCAATGCCTTGAAGGTAAATATTTTAAGTGTGCAGTCTTGTTTTGAGTGTTGTCTTCTGCCTTGCCTCCATGCCCTCTCCCCTGCTGCCCCAAGCCCCCCATCCCCAATTAAGGTAGTACTACTTGGGGACCAAATGAGTTCTTCTCAAAAGTCTCCTTTAGGTTTTTTCCTTTAATCCCACAAAATCTTGCTGTGCTGGCAATGACAGAGGTCAGCTTCAGAGAATACAAGGCAAGCCCAACGCTAAACCTGGAGGTAGCTCCTTGCCCATTGCCCTGGTGATAATGTGACAATTTCAGCCAGTTTATTAGAGCATTTGTGGCCTGTGGTACCAGTTACCCAGTGGACCACAAGCCTTTAGGTTTTTTCCTTTAATCCCACAAAATCTTGCTGTGCTGGCAATGACAGAGGTCAGCTTCAGAGAATACAAGGCAAGCCCAACGCTAAACCTGGAGGTAGCTCCTTGCCCATTGCCCTGGTGATAATGTGACAATTTCAGCCAGTTTCTTAGAGCATTTGTGGCCTGTGGTACCGGTTACCCAGTGGACCACAAGCTCATTTCCCCCTCTACTTGGTGTAATAATGGAGTATTCTGTACAAACCCCCCCATCCTTTCAGCACTTGCACAGACTTGAATATGTAAACTCCACAAACAAAGCCTGATGATTAGGACTATTGTAATATTATCTACCAGCAGGAAGCTGAGTGTCCAGTCACCTCTTTCTAGGTGACTGGAAGTGAGAATAATAGAAGAAACTCATAGCTTATGGGAAGGTTGTATCTATGTTCATTTTGCATCTGAAAGATGATGAATATGCATTTGTTTTAAATTTTGGCTAAGCATTATAGTAAATTTCATCTCTTCAGTGAGTTGTTTGTGCTTTCTAAAGCAAGGTGAAATCATCCTGACCCTGTGCTGTGTCCTCCTGCAGACTGAAAGAGACGTTAGTGTACGACAGAGAGCTGTAGATCTCCTCTATGCCATGTGTGACAGAAGCAATGCCCAGCAGATCGTGGCTGAAATGCTGAATTACTTGGAGACTGCTGATTATTCCATTCGAGAGGAAATTGTGAGATATTTGTGTTTCCTTAACTTTTTCACAGCTGGCTTGGGCACCATAAGTATCGTTTATTGATTGAGATGCTGGGTAGTCTGTGATTGAGATTCTTTTTCATGGTAGTGTAAAACCAAAACAAAACCCCCAAAACAACTTAAGTTTGTAGTCTAATAGCAAATAATGTTCTTCGTTTAGGTTACACTAATGGGTGGGGGAACACACCCAAATCCCTGGAAACTGAAGTTTTAAAAATGAATCTTGATCTTGGAGCATTCCATATAGAAAGCACAGAGAATTTTATCTGTGCTTGAGCAAACAAACTCTAGGTCTGAGGATTATCTCCTACTCTAGTCAGCTAGTTAAGAACTTCCAAAATTCATGTGATAAATGCTTGTATGTAGAGAGAACTTTGTACTGTATATGCTGGAGGAACATTATCTCAGTGTAAGGATTCCCCCCCCCCCAAAATGTCTTATAATCAGCTAAAAGAGGCATGATATTTCTCTCCTTCCTCCCAGGAGGAAAGAAGTGCAAAAGCTGAAATACTCACTTAACCTTCCTAGAATGGTAGAAAAAAACCTGCACTTCTGGTAACTGTTTAGCTTAGTTAAGTGCTAAAGTTTCTTGATCAGAGAAGTTAACATAGAATACAGTGTTAGTTACTTTTCCTCTTGTACTGTCTTGTTCCTTTTGGGAAGCTACCCTGACTTGAAAGGTAACGTGGATTTCATTCTGATAATTCACCTCTCTTAAAATAATAGATCAGTATAAACGCAACTATCAATAACAAGTGATGTGGAGTTCTTTCCCTTTACTGATATTTTTGCTTCAGAACATAGGAATCTTGGTATGACCTGTAAAAGTCAGCTAGGGTTGGGTGACTCTGGTCTGTCTCTGCTAGCCTGAGTTTCTACTTTTTTATTTTTATGATTTCCTGGGTGGTCCTCTCTCAGTGATGATTTAGATAGTGTTTGTGTAGCAAGCAAGGTTCAATAAATTCACTCGACTGCTTAGGTACACAGTTGAAAAGCCACAGATCCAACATATTTGAATGGGTTATGGGGAAAGAATTGTGTACCTGGGAGCTGGGGTGTTCTGGCATGGGGCTTCAGTATTCATCTTTCACCTTAGCTGTGGAGCAAGTGGACATGCTGAGGCACCTGGGGCTGGGGCTGCGGGTCTGTCACGGGGCATCCCTGCCTGATGTGCAAGTGAACCTGGATGCACAGCTTACAGCAGAAGCTGGTCAACCTTCTGTGTTCTCTTTGGTGTGCTCAGGTTCTGAAAGTTGCAATCCTAGCTGAGAAGTATGCAGTGGATTACACCTGGTATGTGGACACAATCCTGAACCTGATCCGCATCGCCGGGGACTATGTCAGTGAGGAGGTGTGGTACCGAGTCATCCAGATCGTCATCAACAGGGATGATGTGCAGGGCTATGCAGCAAAGACTGTGTTTGAGGTGAGGATCACTCTTTTCCACTCACTTTCCAAATGAGGTAGGCATTAAGCAAACACCAGGTGATCCAGGAGGTGTGTGTGCTCCCCCAGGTTAGGGGTGGGAGTATGATCCTCAGTATTTCAACACAAGGCTGCTGCACTGTTCTGTAAAACCAGCATTGGAGATTTCCAGAGCCAGAGGCTGTATTAAGTTGGTAAGATGCTTCTCTGACTTAACTGACTACACCTTGTACTGTTCTGGTTCTGGTGAGGGAGTGCAGAGTTGGGTTGTGCTGGTGTTCTGTTATTTTGGTGGATGATGTTGAATGGATGGCTTAGGAGGAAAATTATATTACCTGGAAAATTACTGAAAAGCAGTAAAAATAGAAGCCTTTTACAGGGCCACTGGCTTTTTTTCTTTCTTTTTTTTTTCTGCATGCAGGAATCCAAAACACTAAAATTGATAACTTGATGATCCTTCTAGAAGCATATACTCATTCCTTCTGTTCAGGATCTGATAAAACTGGAATTTGAACTATTAAAGGAGAGCACTTTCCAATATCTGGTGTTGTTGCTCTGATTTTGCCTTGGGTTCTTCATATGGCATTTCCAATTTTTATTTTTTTTTTATTTCCTTTCATGAATGTTTAAGGTGACTTTCAGAACTCCTCCCTGCTGTGTTTCTTCACACTCAACAGAGACAGTGTTTTTATTTTGAACAACCTCAGCACATTCTCACAAGGTTTAAATTAAGTATATCAACACCATTGTGACACTCCTAAAGGTCTAAGAGGAAACCCAAGGGCCTGTATCTCTCCTCAGAAGCCCACACTGATGCTAGATGTGCCTACAAGTGCTCTTAAGCAAGTAATACTTGTGTTAGAGATTCTTCCATGAAATCATACCACCTATCATGCTTCACTCAGAAGTGCTCTTTAGTGCCTAGACCTATGGTCTGCTCTTACAGGAAAGTAGACTAAGAAAAAGGACATGGAATCATAGAGTCATTATGGTTGGAGAGGACCTCTAGGATCATCAAGTCCAGCCTTCATCCCAACATCTACCTAACCACTAGATCAGAGCCTCAAGTGCTACATACACTTGTTTTTTCAACCCCTCCAGGGATGGTGACTCCACCACCTCCCTGGGCAGCCCGTTCCAGTGCCTGACCACTCTCCTAGTGAAGAAATTCTTCCTGATATCCAAGAGATCTCTTGATACCCTACAGGTCAGTGACTGTTTGTGTGTTCTTACAGGCCCTTCAAGCTCCAGCATGCCATGAGAATCTTGTGAAAGTGGGTGGCTACATCTTGGGAGAATTTGGAAATCTGATAGCAGGTGATCCAAGATCAAGGTAAAACATCTTCTAAAACACTGAAGTCATAACACTTTCTGTAAAGAATCTAACATCTGATTAATATTCCTAAAGGCCAGTAAACAAGTGAATCAGTTCTTGCTAGTAATGCATTAAGAATTATCATCTCTCTACCAAAACCGAACAAATAATTTTTCTTCCCATCTTTTAAGTCCTCTCATCCAGTTCAACTTGCTACATTCCAAGTTTCACCTGTGTAGTGTCCCTACCCGAGCTCTGCTCCTGTCTACCTACATCAAGTTTGTGAACCTGTTTCCAGAGATCAAAACCACAATTCAGGATGTGCTGCGCAGCGACAGTCAGCTGAAGAACGCTGACGTTGAGCTGCAGCAGCGAGCTGTTGAGTATCTGAGGCTCAGCACCATTGCCAGCACTGATATATTGGTAGGTATAGAGATTTCTTAATTATTATTATGCAGAACTCTCTAGCTGGGTCTTCTCTCAGCAAGTAAACCCCACTAAACCTTACCTATTTGCTCAGAAATCTTAGTGCAGGATTAAGGACCCGCAACGTGGGCGCTGATTCTCTTGAATACTTAATTCAGCTGCAGTCAGATTTGATTTAGAGCTAAATTCAAAGTTGTTGTTGCTCTAGTAGGATAAATGACTGTTAAAATATGCTAATGGGCTGGGGAGCCAGTGGAAGGTGGTGTAGGACAGGGTCCTACAGCATTCAGGTACCAAAAAAGCTAGTGCTTTTTGGGGATTTACTTGATGGTGAGCAGAAAACTTGTAACTGTGATAAATTTTTCTTTTTTTGTCTCTAGAACCTTTTAGCTTTTTAACTTCATGCCCCCTGGTCTGGCCAGAGCATGGCACAATTAGTCTGTGCACCTAATGAATGCCTAGGTCTGACTAGATCCTTGAATAATCTTCTGTGGTTTTAGCCTAGGTCTGCTTGACTTAAGGACTGTGAGTTCTGCTGTAATCTAATTTATTTTGGGGGTGGTTTGTTTAGTAGCAGTGTACTAGAGAAGTAGTCTGCTCCTGCTCTCCTAAACAACTGCTTTGGGAGGACTTCAGAAAGTTTTAAATAATTTCTGTTGTTGCCTTTAATAAAAGCAAGTCTGCTCACTGTAAAATAAACTGCAGATTCATTTGCTGTGGGGGTGATTACTTCTGCTTTTGCCTTGTGCAATCACAGAATCTGTAAGGGTGTGTCCCTTCAACAGCTCAGAACCTGGTTTGGCTTTTCCTGTAAGTTTAACTAATACACTCTTCTTTTTTTTTAATTATTCTGTGATAAGGCTACAGTGCTGGAAGAAATGCCTCCCTTTCCAGAGAGGGAATCTTCTATTTTGGCAAAACTCAAGAAGAAGAAAGGCCCAGGCACAGTTACTGACCTGGAAGAGATCAAAAAGGAGAGGAGCTCTGATATGAATGGAAGTGCTGAACCTGCTGCTGTCAATGCCAGTGCTGTTGTGAGTTGAAAAGCTCTTATTTCACTAATTCTGACAAGTGAGAAAAGAATGGTTTCCTTAAAGAAGCTTTTTAAGGGCTTAAAACCTCTCATCTTAAACTTAAGACTGTTTGCTATAAAGTAGCAGGGGAACATACAGCTGCTTTCCCCCCACTGCACACTTGGATGCAATTTTCCTTTGGAAATCTTGTTTCAATGGGGACAAACTGTCTGCAGCCTAAAAAAGAAATCCCTGTGTCTTTGAAAAATATTGGTGTCAATTTAGAAATAGGAATTTCCTTGGCAGTGAAGTTGCAACAGAGGTGAGGTGGTGAAATTAACTTATTTAAAAGGAGTAACTTGAATTTTGAAGTGTCAGCTGGTGTTCCCACATGGCAGATATTTCACCTCTTGTTTCAGGTTGTTACTGTTTTTACTAGAAGTGGACACCACTTAACACAGATGTCTTTAGTATAGTCTTATTGCTGTTTGTTTGTGAGTACTGGTTGAGTTCAGTTAGAGCAAACAAGACCACAGCCTTGTTTCTTCTGAAATTCTCAGAAACTGAAACTTCTCATTTTATTGTCAATTAAAGCTGGTAGGATGACTTGTTCCCACAATGTAATCCTTGGTTCTGATGTTAATGACTTGTCATGACATTTGAGATGTAGTAGTAGATTACCTAAGAGGAGGAAATGTTGTAGCACACTCCCTGCCCAGTTTGTCAAAGCATAATCCTTTCACTCTTAGTCACTGCAGTCTGTAAGAGTAGATGTTCCCAGTGCAACATCTTTGAAATGGACAGAAACACCTTTCCAGCAGAAAAGTGGCCAGATTTTCTTTGCATGCATGGCTGAGGTGACTGGCAGTTAAAACTGTGCTGTGCTTTATGAGCCTCACTTCATGGGTTGCAGCCCTGGAAGAACCTCTGCTACGTTACCTTCACCAGTGGCTTCGGTGTGACCCCAGCTTAGGTGCCAAGAATTATGTTCCAAATTAGAGTTCCAACTGTTTGGATTGGCTTCTGGAAGCTTTTGCCAGGGAATTTTTTTGTTACGCTGCATCAAACTCAGCCTTTGGAGTGGATGATAATTTTGAGTTGACTTACAAAAACAAAATTTCAGACACAATCCAAATTTATCTCATGATTCATCTTCAGCATGTCTGGCATATTGTAGGCTGCTCGTGTCTAATAGATGAACATTTTGTTTAAGGGTCTGTGCTCTGTTCTTGCACGTGGCTTGGGCACACAGATCTGGCCTCTCCTGCATAATTTTATGTCCTGGCTACTTGATTTTTCTATTTGAGGGGGGGGAAGGAACCCCTAAAGGTCTTGCCTCTACCTTTAGTGCTTACAGCTGGAACTAGCTCCAGGCTCTGCTTTTTTGCTGGCTGGGTTTTCCAGTGTTTCTAGGGTTTGCCAAGCTTCAAAAACCCAGCACTAAACTAATAATGGGTTTTAAAGATGCTGTGGTGTTTTAGTTTAGGTTTGTGTAAAAGTCACTGCCTTTCCTGCTGGGTTTTTCGTGAAAGAGAAGCACATTTGAATTTTATTCCCTGGGGTGCTTAATTTCCCCTGAAACTAAGAGGGGAGGAGAGAGAGGGAAAACATTGTTGTCTTCCTTCTGCAGAATCGGATTCTAGACAGGTGACTATTTTTACTGAACTGTTAGATGGACGTAAATCTCTTCAGAGGAAGCAAAGGAAACCACATCTGTAAATGACCTCGAGTCCAAACCCAGGGTGCCAGCTGCATTCCTGAGGCCTCCCACTGCCATTCAGAGCCTGGTTTGGGGTGGGGAGAGGCGCTTCGGCCTAGCTCGCTCGTCGATGCGAGAGACCGCTGTCGGCTTTGCCGCGCCCTAACACCCAAGTGTCTTGTCTTCCCTAGTCCACTCCCTCCCCATCGGCGGACCTGCTGGGCCTGGGTGCTGCCCCCCTGGCCAACTCGGCCCCGGCGCCCTCCTCCAGCGGCAGCCTGCTGGTGGACGTGTTCTCGGACGCCGCCGCCGTCGCGCCCCTGGCTCCCGGCTCCGACGACAACTTCGCGAGGTAACTACGGCACCGGGAGGGAGCCCGCCCACAGCCTGGGCTCTGAGAGCAGGGGCAGAGGGAAGAGACATATAACACCTCCTGGTTTTGTTGCAGCTTATTGAGTGCCTTCCTAGGTGGTAGTTGTGCAGCAGGAGAGGTGTTCTTCAGCCCTGCTGGATGTGCTCTCCTTGCTGAATGCCTCTGCTCGTGGAAAAACTGAGTCTGTGGTTACCAGCCACACAGCATTGCCCAGTTTTCATGCTGGCTTTGCTTCTCTCTTAAACCAAGCCACCTGTGCATCTCAATAGATCTTGAATTTGGGGGTTCTGGCCTGATGTGAATATGTTTATCCTGATTTTTGTAAAGTATTCTTGTCTCTCTCCACTTACGGCAAGCTGATACTGGAACAGTGAGGTGGATTATATCCAGAGATAATGGCTCTCAGAATTTCAAGCTACACTTAAATTTTTCTGCTCCTGTCTGACAAACAGGTGTGAAAGGGGGGGGGAAACCCTTACAAGTGCTTTTCTGTTGTTTTCAGGCTATTTAGTAGTAGTATCTTCCTAATCACATGACCAAGGGTAGTGTAGGTGCAATGTGTTACTGATCCTGTTAACATTAGAAGCCACTGAGCTACACTCAAATGTTATTTGGCTAAAAATTTGGGAAGAGATAGTATAGGATCATAGAATGTCCTTAACAATCTGTCATCTAATGGCCAAAGAATGTATTACTACTATCAAGGACCAAATTTTGAAGAAGAATAGCATTACAAATTTGCAATGAGTCTTGATATCAAGGAGACAATTAGTGGAAGTGATCTGCCTGGATCATGGAGGCTTTCATCAAAATTTTATACTGGGTGACCCATCGTTGCAGGCTTGCAGCAACTAAGACTTGATCCTGCATCTCTCTGGGAAGGCAATAACTGGTGTTTAATCATGCAGTACCAGGACTTTAAGAAGTTATAAAAGCTTTTTTTTATGAAAAGGGGATGAAAAAGAAACCAATACTAGTAACTCCATAAGCAAAAGTTACTTAAAAAGAGTTTTCTCTTTCTGCAGAAGAAAGTGTAGCATTGCCCAACCCCTTGGTCTGTCTGTAGATGATGAAATGCTTCTCTAATGATACTGAGAAGTTGCCTTTTACAGTTTCCTGCCTCTCTTTAGTGCTGTTGTCACTTTTGTTTCTAATCTGTTACTTGGGTAAGTTATTCTCTGCGTGCCTGTGTATTCTTGCCTACACTTAATACTTGTGTGTGTGCTTAAGAACTGATGGTGCAGCTGTAGTCAGACGTGCCACTAAGGTCAGTGAGGCCTCTGCTTCAAAGTGCACATTTCTGGTAGTTAGTGTAGATCTACAAATATGGTTTTGAACTGAAACCTTTGTGTCGTCACATTTAAACACCTAAAAGGACTTGGTTCTTTAAGAGGTATAAATTTAAGCTACTGAACACCTTCTGCTGTCTCCTGTCTTGGGGAAAAGTTGCTGGTTCCTAATAATCAGGGAGGGGTGGGGTGGGGGAGAGAAATGGGGGAGAACTTTGCCTAATGCCTGAAACCTTTTGAGGTGTGCTCAGCTAGGGCAGCTAATAAACTTCTCATGCATTAAACTCAGCAGTGCCATTTTTGAGGAAGGAGGTAAAAGAAAGAACTAAGCACTAAGCTGTCTTTACTAACTCCTGCTGTCTCTGTCACTACTGCCTTTCTTCCTTTGTGCTGCCTGAACTAGCCCTGACCTGGCTTCATCTGAGGTAGTTTCTGAGGAACCAGCTGATACTGTGCATGATGCTGATGAGCTTTTTCACAAGTAAGCAATACTAAAACCTTGCAAGGCTGGGCAACTTCCAGAATATAGTTATAAACCAAAACTATATTGTGCTTTAACTTAGTACCAGCAAAACTAGAGAAACGTGTACTGTCAGACTTGTGACTAGAAGACCTCTGTAGATGCTGTGGAGTTTGAGGAGCTCATGAACACAGAGGCTGGAGTTGCTTTTACGAGTCAGTGCTATCACACACTGCTCTCCAATGAGGCAATGCCAGTTGCTTATTAAGTTTTGCAAGTATTCACAAATAAAGGAAAAACATAAAAGCCTAAATTGTCAAAAGCAGTGCTACTTGGGAGTTTAAGTGCCTTGTATGCAAAAGGCTGATGTTCACTGACCACCTCTCCTGCTTTTAAGTGAGGGGTGACAGAAGGGACTGAAATCACGGCAGAATGGGCTTCATCTCAAAATGGAAAACAAAATACAGCTCTCAGTTGAACTTACATGATACAGAACTGAAAAAAACAAAGGATTCTTCTTTTCTTTCAGGTTTAAACACTCAAAGCTTCAAACTTTTCAATTCTACACCAACCCTAATGAGTTTCAGAAGTTGTCAAGAATATGAATAAGAAAAATCCTAGTCTGTTGCCTGGTCCTTATAGACAGTGTGTGTGTGTATAGCAAATTGTGGCTTCCTTTGTAGTTTCTCAGACATCCTATCAAAGAAAAATTTCAGTTCTTTTACTGTCCTACAAGTGGTGGTTTTGGTTGTAAAACTGTCTTTTCTAACTGCAGTGTTCTGCAAAGGCCTCTCTCACAGACTGATGCACTCTAGGCTAACCACAATCTTCATCCTCTGTGTAAACCCTGAATTTTATGGTTCTAAATACTGTTTAATATGGCCTAATTTAAAACACATTTTCCCTCTCTTCCCCTAGGTTTGTGTGTAAAAATAACGGGGTCTTATTTGAAAATCAGTTGCTACAAATTGGATTGAAATCGGAGTTTCGACAGAACCTGGGTAAGATCTTTGAGACCAAGTGGTTTGCTGTCTGCAGTACTGACCCCAATGCCAGCATGGTACTGCAGATGGGACTTGAGTTTTGAGCCACTGAAGAGGGAAATATGATTTCAGGCTTAACCTCTTTTAGGATCTTTGCTGTTTATGTGACCCTGGCTTCTGTGTGGATTCTTGTTTCCTTTAACTTCTTGTTTTAGTAGCTGAGATGAAGTGGGAGTGTTAAATAGTGCTGTAGGCTCCAGCTCTTGCTGCCTAGCTGTGAGGCTGGTGCAGCCAGAGTGGTAAAGGACCATTCTCATCAATTTTTCTATCTTACAGTCTAGCTTGTTGTAATAATGTGATCCACAATACATTTCAGATGTCTATTCTAATACATAATGCACAAGATACTGAAAAGATCTAGGAAAGAGCCACTAGGATTGCTTGTTTCTCCCTCTCTGCATCACTTTTGGGGCCATAACAGCTTCTTTACACAAAAAGTAACATTCTCTGGCAACTGAAAGACTTCCACTGATAGTTTACCTGTCTGACAGCTGCAGTGGGAGAGCTCTGATAGTTTGTTTTAACCTGTTATTTCATTTTGAACTGGAAATGTCTTGGTAAGATAAACGATGCAAATTATGCTTTGCTTTTAAAAGTTGTTGTGTAGTTGTTAAATTGTTTAAGTTTCCTAGTGGTTTAAAATTTGTTGACGTTATATTAGATATTTGAAGCACAAATAGTTAAATATAATTACATGTGATGTAGCTAAAAATTCTGATGTCTCTTATTCTTTTCTTTCTAGGACGTATGTTCATATTCTATGGTAATAAGACATCAACACAGTTCCTGAATTTTACTCCAACAGTAATCTGCTCAGATGACCTACAGTCAAATATCCTTAAGAGCAGCAGCATCTGTCTGTTCTCATGTGGGTTTCCTGTTTTATGCCACACAAAACTGTAACAAAGCTGCTGGATCAGGGCATGGTGTCCTTGAACACGATGGAATGAGAAACTCGTGCGTAACTTTGTAAAGTTCTTGTGGAAAGAACAAGTCTTGAGCAGAGATGGAAGATTCTCTCCTTAAGGCTCTGGTTACAAACACATTTTTTTCTGTTGAAATAAGGAGAAATTAGGCTGAATAAGTGTGTAATGTAACTTGAGCTTTCTCCACTGTCATGAAGTAGCAAGGGCGTAGGTGTGATGTCCTTCAAGTCCTGCTTTAGCAGATGACCTCAAACTTGAGACCAAGGTAGAAGAAAACATATACACAAAGATGATGATAATTTAAAATAAGCTCTTCATTTCCAGTTTGTGCTTAATGCCTGGTATTTTAGTTTAGGGTTTCTGGGAGACACTGTAATCAAACGTGTTTGCCTCAAAGCATCACTGTAATGTTCACATCAGAATGAGATGGTGCAGTGGTGTTTACTGTGAAGTCTGTCTGTGCCTTCATACCTTCTTGGGGGCATCTTCCTTTAAAAATATCCAAATAACTGAGAATTGGGGTGTTATTGCTTCTAGGTGTGTCAGTAAAAAAAAAAACCAACAACTTCCTTGCTGTACAAGACTTTGAATATTCAGTAGCATACAGGGAATGAGTGGAGGTGATGCTAATTCCTCATGTAAGTTATTGGAGGGCTTACTTTTTTTAAGTTAACCTTTCTTTGGTCAGTGTCCTTAACCACTTCTTAGGCCTGAACCTTCAGACAAAGCCTGTTGACCCCACAGTGGATGGAGGGGCACAGGGTCAGCAGGTTGTGAACATCGAGTGCGTGTCAGACTTCATGGAAGCTCCAATCCTGAACATTCAGTTCAGGTAAGACACAGGAGTCAAGTGCTAGTGAATTAATTAGATGAAAGATGTTACATTTGTTTTCTGGTTCTCTGCTGGAAGTGTAGAATCATATTCCACACAAAGCTGTCTTGGGTAAGCAACTTACTTGAAAACTTGTATCTAAGGAAGCTTTACACTACTAACAGGCAGAGAATCCACTTGGAACAATGTAATTTTTGTAAAGAAGAAAAAAGTAATCAAGAAGCAGCTACTGATAAAATGTTTGCATGGCTTCTCTTTCTGCTGTCCATGTATATGAAAGGGCACTCTTCCTGTTGGCTTAAGAAATCTTGACTGGAATATGTGCAGCAACTTCTCCCTTCTGAAAACCAAGAATATTTCTGCAAAGAGCATGGACTGGCAATGCATGCAGCCCAAAATAGAATCTTGTTATGCCCACTCAACATCAGCCTTTGGGAAATCCTGCTTTCTGGGCTACATTCTGTTTTTCCAGACAGAGCTGGTTCTGACTGGTATGTTTTCACAGAGAGATGTTTCCACTCCTTTGGTGGGTGCTATCCAGAAGGATAACAAGCTATGTTGAAACAGAGAGATCCTTACTAGAATTTTTGCTGATTCACTTTCATTTGCCATCTAAGCACAGCAAATAAATTTATTTAAGAGTGGATTAAAACTCTGTCTTAGAAACAACATTATCTGCAGTTCCTGGACTTCAATGCTAACCAGTTGCACCGTAGTGTTCATCCTCAGTTGCTTGGTTGGTCTGGGCTGAGATGCTGCTGTGACGCTGGGCTGAACACCCTGTGCTCTTTCTATTCCACCTGCAGGTATGGGGGAACATTTCAAAACCTTTCAGTAAAATTACCCATCACACTGAATAAGTTTTTCCAGCCCACAGAGATGTCTTCTCAAGACTTTTTTCAGCGTTGGAAGCAACTGAGCAAGTAAGACTTTGTCTATACTTTGGGGCTCTTCTGGTGGGCCAAGGGGAGAGAAAAAGGGTGTGTTGTGAACGTGGCTGGTGCAGTGCCCCATCCCACACTTCAGCCTGTGGGAGAGAAACTCTCCCAATATAATTAGTTGCTATTGAACAATGCTGTATGTAAAACACATTACACCACGTGTCCATCTTGCCTTTTCTTGCAGTCCAAAACAAGAAGTACAGAATATCTTTAAAGCAAAACACCCGATGGATGCAGAGATCACAAAGGCAAAGGTGGGTGCTGGTGTGGTATTTTTGATTCGTGGTGTAAGGGCAGTGGTATAAGCAAGCTTTGTCTTGGTTTATGTGGCAGTCAGATCACCCTGTTCCATGTGAGCCCCTGTGTGTGACAGTCCTTTGGCACTGCTAAGCTGAATTGAAACTGTTCCTCAGTGTGGCTTGAATGAGGTACAGTCTTCAATAGCAGCTGGAATCTTGAAGCTATTTAAAAAACCCCACCAATTTCATGCTTAAAACTGAATTGGAAGATACTTCAAGGCTTAATTGATGCTAGAGCTACTAGTTGGAGAAGAAAACCAAGTTTTTGTAAAGTGGCTGCCTTAGGCAAGTGCCTGCTGTAAGACAGGAATGGCTGTGTCAAAACAGGAGAGACATGTTGAATTCAACTTATTTCTCTGTTGGTTTTGAGAAGAACCTTTTTTCAGGAACAGCTCATTACCCAGCTCACTTGTCACTTCAAAAATTAGTTGTAATAAAGTTGGTATTGGATAATTCTTTAATGTCTTGAACACTTCCAATAAAAATTGGTCTCCTGCTTTTTTGCTTGTGGGTGGTGGCTGTGCTTGGGTAGGCCTGGTACTGGTGTCCTTACATCTAAATCTTCTGGGTTTCTTTTATAGATAATTGGCTTTGGATCAGCCCTGCTTGAGGAGGTAGATCCCAATCCTGCTAACTTTGTTGGTGCTGGTATCATACACACAAAAACTACTCAGATTGGATGCTTGCTGCGCCTCGAACCCAATCTCCAGGCACAGGTACCTATTTAAGTGTCTACAGCTTAATGCAAGTTCTTGTTTGGACTAAATGTGTGTGTCTATCTGCAGCTCTTTAAGGTGTTTATTTAAAATCACTATTGCAATTGCTAATTGCAACTGCAGGCTCCAACAAGAAATGAAATTGTAGCTGCTGGTCCTGTCCCAGTTGGGGAAGCTGCTGCTTTGTAGCAATTCTTTCTTGCTGGAAGAGATCACTGAATTATTTCAAACTGTCTGTAGAGTCTCCTCTTGAAGGCTGGAAACATTTAGTCTTTCTGGTCTGTGCCCCTTGGACAAGATTAAATATAATTCCTTTTGGCTTTTTAAATCAAGAAAAGAATGATTGGCTAACAGAGAAAACAAAAGCAAACAGAACCACAGTGTTGAGAATATTTTCCCTCGGGCATTTTGATGGAGGTTTTATCAAAGTTAACTGAGGACTAGAAATAAGTTTGGGTGGTAAGTCTCTTATTTTCTGAAGAAGTGATAGCAGGGAGTCTTTTCACTTCCCCACAGCATTGACTTTGCTGTTAAAACCTGCCAATTTTAGAACAATGGTGACTCTCAACAAGGGTGTGAAGACCTAGGCCAGCCCAAGGTTTGAAACAGCTGTATTGCTCTGTGGTTGGCTGCCTCAGAATGGCTCAACTCGAGGGCTTTTTCCTACCAAATCTAAAAAACCAGGAGGTAGCAGGTACCTTTCAGTAGTCGACTGTGCCAGACTGTGTTTGATGCTATGTTGTGTTTAAAAAGTAAATAATATTTCATGTTCTTTTTCAGATGTATAGGCTCACACTACGAACAAGTAAAGAAGCTGTATCTCAGAGGTTATGTGAATTGCTGTCAGAACAGTTTTAATATTAACCATGTCAGTTTTGGTTTTTTTTTCCATTTATATCACTGTCATCATACTGCAAATAAATGTCTTGTACATCACTGTCTGAGTACTGCAATGTTAACCAATACCAGCTCCCTGCCTTATTAGGACTTGACCCTTGTTTGAAATTAAGACTATAAAATGTACAGTACAGGGAAGTGACTTTTTACATTAAAAATGGCTTTTAGTGTGTTACACAAAGAGCAGGAGGGCTGTCTTGTGCTCCCTTTTGTTTTTTGCAGAGGTCAGGCTTTCAAACTTGTAAAAGGGAGATCGGTTCAGATGTGTTGACCAAGGGTTTCAACTGGCAATGGCTGGTGACATTCTGCCTCAGTGCCTCTGACAGGTACTCCTCTGCTCTGAGCTGTAAGAAACCCGTGTAGTGCTGCTCAGCAAGGTGAACTCAGCTGTTAATGTAGAGTCAAACCTCTGTGAAGTTGGTCATTGCCACAAGTCTTGTCCTGGATGGAAAGACAGATTCCAAGACGTCTGTGGATCTGGTTCAGGTGAACGTTTATGTTGAGTGTCACCAATCCTTGTATTTGAGAGATGCCACAAGACCAGAGTCTTGACATATTTATCTTGTAATCCCCCACCTCTGGATGTTTCCTGATCTTTGGAAAGTGGATTGAATCCAAAAGCTATTCTTAACCTTTCTGCTTACCTCAAATGATGAGGTGAGCTTCTCTGGCAGGTGGTGAATGAGTACTGTGCTTGTTCATTGTTAGTCAAACTGAAGTTAAATATCCTCTTCTGTGTGTTTTCTGTTTCCCATCAGACTTAGCAAGTATTAGTCCTAATGATGTGATAAAACTAACTGCGGAGTCTGGTATTGTACAGGAGGAGAGGTGGGAAGGAAGGGGCCCTGGGAGGACTGTGAGGCATGCACTCTTCTAGAGAAAGTGTGACCCTGAACAATAGCTTTTTTTTTTTTCCCCCAGTGTACAGTAAAGTTGAAACTTGAGAGGTTGAATAACTGATATCTGAAGAGTTCCTGTCTGTGGTGGTAAAATTAGCCAGCATGGTGTAGGAGACTTGTGTTGAGACTTAGAGTAGAAGGCCCCCAAATGTTCAGCTTCTATAGTGGTTTTTACAACCAAAGCCTTTGTAACTTGTTCCACATCAGCAATCTCTTGGCAGCCTCCTTGCAGAAGTGGACACAACTTTGGCTCATGCTCTCCAAGCCTTGAGGTGCAACAAAGGCTGCAGGAGCAAGGCAGGTGAGGTGGTGCAGTTAGACACTGGCTGGAGGTCACAGGAAACAAAGTCAGCTACTGCTGATGACAGAAGTGAGCTTCAGGTCGAGTTTTCCTCCAGGTTATTTAAAGGAAGCCTGGGACTGGTGTCCCCCAACTCGTACAGCCAAGTATGGCCATGAAGTAAAGGTTTGGAGTGATAGTGAGGACCTGGAAGATACATTCCAGTGAGGCTGCTGTCACGCTGCCCAGTGCACAGCAGAGGACAGGATTCTGCAGGAGTGAGCATGCTCTGCTGTTCTCTGCAGTGCTCTGAGTGAAAGGGTGGAGCTAGGTGATTGCCCCTTGGTTTGGCTGAGGGCTAGCCATCAAACTGGAGTGCCAGTGCAGAATGAAGATCAGAGGTTTGGCTGTGGGGTCTGGATTTGGGGAGATAGTGGTTTTGGTCTGTCTTTCCAGAAGTGGCTGTTACCTATGGACATTGTGACTGAAAACTTGGCTATAGACCTGGTCTCTCTGCACAGGTCCTCTGGAACAATCTGGAACAGTGGCCTGGCAAGTAGCTAAGAAAGACTCTTTGATCACAGACATTGTCTCTGAAAAATCCTCAGGAGCAGTTCCTGCAGCTGGGTTGGGCAGTGGGCAAAGTCCTAATGGGCTGCTCTGTGTTTGTCCTCGGGGTGCCCTGTGTCTCTGTTGGTCCTGTCACCCTGCTGTGGCTGCTGCACTAAAATCTGACGTGCTGCACCGAAGGGAGTCTTGGCGAAGACAAGGGAGGAGCTTCTGTTCCATGTTTTTTTCCCAAATCCTGTTGTATATCTGTCCCCCTGAAAATGTTCTTCACCCTCATTAAAGGACATCTTGAGACACTGCACGACTTTAGTTCACTTTGCTTTGGTTCAAGCTGTGCTAAAATGTGCATTCAAAATGTGGGAAGGAGGGGGGTAAGGGGAAGTGTCTTTTCAGTGGTGACTGTGTTAAGCTTATGACTGTTCACACTTTGCATTAAATGTCAGCTCAATGAAGCCATGAGCAGAAAAGTGAACAAATCAAGGACAAATACTTGATTATTTCTTGTGAATTATGGTTAACTTACCAAAGTGATGTATCCTGTCAAGCAGACAAAGTACTTTCTGCAGTAAACAGTGTTATTGTTTTTAAGTACAGTATTTCCAGGCATTGACATGTGAGAATAACTGAATAGCAAAGCAGGTAGCTTATGTTCATTCTTGACCTACACTCCAGTATGTAACATTTATGGTGATTGTCTTATTTGTACAAAACAAAGTTCTGTCAAATTAAGTGGAGAATTTTCATATAGAAGACTATATATTAGACTATATTCATCAGAAGAACGTATTAAGATTAAATAAATGATTAGAACAGTAATCAAACTGTCCTTTTTTGTCTGGGGGCATGGCAGGGTGAAGAACACTTGCATGGAAAGGTTGTTATAGAGCCACAGCTGCTGTGTAATGGTAAATTCTGCTCTGCAGACTGCTGGTGGGTTGTGTTCAGCTGAGGGCTCCCTGGCCTGCAGGTCTCTGCTCCCCCAGTGACTTTGTTCATGGCATTTTCGGTGGTGTGTTTGGTCACATGTTACAAATACTCTGCTGTAAAAAAAAAAGTAGAAAAATCTTGATGTAAACTCTTTCTTCCTATAGTGTTTAACAACAGTGAGTGTATTAACAGTCCATGCTGCAGTGAACTGCTGTAACAGTGGGGTATGGCTGAGGCCCAGTGTGACACACGGGCAGGACCTGTCAAAAGACTTGGTGTTGCTGTTAAAGAAGAGGATCTAAACTGCTGGATAACCTCACTCGAGCTCTCCGTGTATGCTTCAGACTCTTAGTCCTTCTTTAAAACTTGCTAAAATTAAAAAAAAAAATACCTGGGCACTGTTGAGCTTTTGTGCATTCATACAGCTTCTGAAACCACTTGTGAGCGAGCTGCCCGTGTCCCCTTCCCATGCAGAGACACCCCCTGCTCTGTGTGTCACCCAGGAGCTGCCACACCTCTGGTAGTGCTGCCTCTGGAGATGTCCCACCACGTGGAGGGGGTGTGGGAACCTCCCAGGGAGCTGCTGGGCCCTGGAGCCCCTGCTCCCTGCTGGTGCTGCCCGAGTGCTGTGTCCACTCCCAGGGGGAAGGCAGGGGCTGAACCCCTCCTCCTAGTTCAGCTGCAGTGAACTTCACTGTTTTCAGTTAGAATAATGGGTCCAGTCATGAGAAATAAGCAAATTCTATTCCTTCTATTTTATTTGAAAGGCAAATTTCTGTTATTGCACAGTGGCATTGGTCCTTAGCCTCTGGTCCAGTACCCCCCTGAGCAGGGCTGGGTGCTCTGCCCTCACCTTCCCCCCAGCCCACACCCTCTCACCACCTCCCTGCAGACCCTCCTGATCAGCAATAATTTATCAGTTACCTCCACTGCCACTCCAGCCCAGGAAGCCTCACCACAAGGCTCTCCTGTGCCACCAGCACGAGGGAGCTCCCAGCAGTGAGCAGCTGCTGGGGAAATGTCGGTGTGTGATCAGTGTTTAATTAAAAATGGCTCTCCAAGGCTGGCTGGAGGTCTGGCTAGTGTGTGCAAGTGTCAAAGCTACAGACACAGCCACTAAGTACAATGATTTCTGTGATGAGCCTTTCTCCAGGGCTGTCTGGGTCTTGGCAGGGCAGCTGGAGTTCCTTCTTCAGCAGCTGGCGTGGCCCACAGCAGCCACAGGCTGTGGTGACCATCATCTTCCCAACGTTGAGCCTGTGGGGAAGAGAGGGAGGGTCCGTTTGCATCTGAATCCAGAACTTCAGGCTTACAGCTTTTCAAGTATTTAAATGTGTTTTTCTTACAGTGGATCATTTAGGGCACAACCCTCAGGAGTTTAACAGATCTGTCAGCTAAAAAACTCCCGAGTGCAGCAGCTGAGTTGGTGTTTTAAGCTCTGCTGGTGACTGCTGCAGAGTTCAGGTGTCCTGAGCTGCTGCTGACCTTTCCAGGACTGCATCTTCGTGGGGCTGAGAGCTGGTTCACCTCAGACCTCACTGGAAAACTGGCAGGGTTTGATTTCCACGTTCTCCTTCTGCACTGCTGAAAATCATGAACTGTGTATTGAAATTTTAAGCTGTGCCCTGGGCTGTGGATGGTTTGCAGAAGGTCTCTGGTGTGTTCTGGTAACAAAGGTGCTAAACTGGGCATAGAGAAAGGAAAATCTGAGCTGTTGGCACCAGGGTCTGACCCGATGGTTGTGTAGCATCAGTTCTGGACTGGGAGGGCAGTTTAGAAAGTGGCTGTAGCAAACCTGCACCTGTCTTGCTGAAATAAGGGGAATGAATGACAGGTGACTGTACAGTAGCCCTGAATTACACCCTTGGGAGAACTCTAGATGAGACAACTGAAGTGATGTTATGTATTTAGGTGAGAAATTTCTTATTTTGCTGGCTTGGCTATTTGAAAACCAGGTATTTGTAGTCTTAACTCACCCTTTCCATCTGAAAAGAGAAAATAAACCCCAAAACTCTCACAAAACAACAGGAAAAGCCTCATAGAGTCACAGGATGATTGGTTTGGAAGGGACATTTCAAGGTCATCAAGTCCAACCCCCTGCAGGGACAGGGACATCTGCAGCCAGAGCAGGGTGCTCAGAGCCCCGGCCAACCTCCCCTGGGATGGTTCCAGGGATGGGGCAGCGACCACCTCTCTGGGCAGCCTGGGCCAGGGGCTCACCACCCTATGTGTAAAACATTTCTTCCTTCTTTCTAGTCTAAATCTCCTTTTTTTAGTTTAAAACCATCACCCCTCGTTCTGTCCCAACAGACCCTGCTCAGAAGTCCCCCCCCAGCTTTCTGACAGGCCCCTGGCAGCCCCCAGCAGGTCTCCCCAGCTGGAGCCTTCTCCTCTCAGCTGCCCCAGCCCAACTCTCTCCTGCTGGGCTCCCAGCAGAGGGGTTCCCCCCTCGGGGCATTGCTGGGGCTCCTCTGGCCCCGCTCCAGCAGCTCCCTGGCTCTGCTGTGCTGAGGACTCCAGAGCTGCCCCAGCACTGCAGGGGGGTCTCACAGAGCGGGCAGAGGGGCAGGATCCCCTCCCTGCCCTGTGCCCACAGCTTTGATGCCTGTTTTCTCTTTTAACAACCTTGAGGAAGTGGGACCACACTTGTCCCCGTGTGAATCCCTGTGTGCCCAGTGACTTTATTGGTGTCATTTCCAGTCCGTTGGCTTATCCCACAACATCCTACTGCTGGGTAGATGCCAACCACATTTTGGC